GGGGGGATTTAAAATGACAACTTTTTCACAACAAAAAATTAACTTTTTCAACTTAACTTTTGAAAATGTTGAAGGTCTGACACTTTTATATATATCTTAAATTGAAGCTAATGCAATGTTCTTTATTATGCAAAAAAAAAATTTCGGACTTTATTTTATCTTCACGGTGAAAATGGCTACCGAATGCTATTTTTGTGTGAAAATTTTCGATTTTGTATTTTCCATTTTTAACTTTATTATGCTATAACTTTTTGAAAAATGTATGGATCAGTACAATTTTTTTATGAGGAGTAGTATTCATATACATCTTTCATTTGACATACTGTTTTTTTAAATCGGACCATTTCCCTAAATACAGGGGGGATTCAAAACATAAAAATGCATATAGAAAGTAGAACTTTTTCAACGTAACTTTTGAAAGTGTTCCGGAAGGTCTGACACTTTTATATATATCTTAAATTAAAGCTAATGTAATATACTTTATAATGGTAAAAAAAAATTTCGGACTTTATTTTATCTTCATGGTGAAAACAGACATTAAACTTAATAAAAAAAATACGATTTTTGTAAAAAAATTCTTTTTTATATTTTTAACTTTATAATGCTATAACTTCTCGAAAGATGTATGGATCAATATAATTCTTTTTTTTGTAGATGCATGATGTCTTTACCTATCATTTGGTATATTTTTTTTATAAATCTGACTTTTTACCTGCCTACAGGGGGGGATTCAAAATGACAACTTTTTCACAAAAAATTGACTTTTTCAACTTAAATTTTGAAAGTGTTCCGGAAGGTCTGACACTTTTATATATATCTTAAATTAAAGCTAATGTAATATACTTTATACTGGAAAAAAAAAATTTCAGACTTTATTTTATCTTCATGGTGAAAACAGACATCAAAGTTTATAAAAAAAATACGATTTTTGTAAAAAAATTCTTTTTTATATTTTTAACTTTATAATGCTATAACTTTTTGAAAGATGTATGGATCAATATAATTTTTTTTTATAGATGCATGATGTCTTTACCTATCATTTGGTATATATTTTTTTTATATCTGACCCTTTACCTGCCCACAGGGGGGGATTTAAAATGACAACTTTTTCACAAAAAATTTACTTTTTCAACTTAAATTTTGAAACTGTTCCGGAAAGTCTGACACTTTTATTTATATCTTAAATTAAAGTTAATGTAATCTACTTTAATATGCGAAAAAAAAATTTCGGACTTTATTTTATCTTCACGGTGAAAATGGTTACCAAATGCTATTATTATGTGAAAATTCTCGATTCTATTTTTTACATTTTTAACTTTATAATGCTATGACATATTTAAAAGTGTATGGATCAACATTATTTTTTTATAAGAAATAATATTTTTTAATAATCCCTTTTNAGAAATAATATTTTTTAATAGTTCCTTTTTCATTCGACATACTTTATCTTAATTAGGATATTAATAATGAACTAGCAGATCATGTAGCTTTTGGAATAATCCACCAATTTTTTAAAATTAAACACTATCTAAAGATNTTTTGGAATAATCCACCAATTTTTTTAAATTAAACACTATCTAAAGATTTGCATCGAAGCGTTTTTTTTTGATAGTGATTTTAATCACTGTCAGATATCATTATACTTGATCCATCTATGCCACGTCACCACTGTGCCGCGACCCCCCTGTGCTGGGTTTTTATTAAATGTATTTAAAAATACTATTCAATACCAATGAAAGTATTTGAATACTTTTATTCAAATACATTTACTCAAATGCTTTACGCCTTTGCAAATGGTGTATAAATGTATTTGGTATTCTCGATAAAAAATAGTAAAATTTAGTCAAGTACAAATCTATTTTTGAAAACCTATAATAGATAGTTTAACTGCACTAATTAAATAAATTTTATTTGGTTTTATATTGTTTTATTTAAGAGTTATTATTGAAATTAAAGAAATTATTATAAATTAAAAAAAAATAAAAGTTAAATAAAAATACTTATCAAATTAAAGTTATATAACATATATCTTTTTAGAAAACTAAGTTAATTATGTGATTTTAATCTTAAATTGTAGACAAGGTTATTATTGTTTAGGCTCTCTATATACATACAGTTATCAGGGAATCATGAACCATTGGATAACAACTTTTGGACCAGTATTATAGAAGTTATTATCAATTAAAAATAGTTTATTTTAATGCTAGCTACTCAATTTTTCTTCAAATAATGAGTTAATTGAATTTTTTTGTATTTTTTGGGGACTCCTTTTCTTATTAAGCATAATTTAAAAACTCTCTCGGTACTCTATCATATTCTTTCACCAAATCTACAAATACCATACAAAACTATATTTTTTTCATTCTGTTTCATTGTTGCCATAGCTTCCCATACCTCTTTCTCACTAATTAAATCTACCAGTCCCACGTTCCACAAAATATCCTTTAATGTCTCTTTTGAATACTCCTCATTCAGTAATTTTTAATGATACTCTTTCCACCCTTTTTCACATCATCATTACATAACACCTTTCCATCAACACTTTTTAAACACCTTACATAGTCTATAGACTTATTTCCTCTTTTCCCTGTTCCTAGACTTTCATACCTCTTGAACCTTGCCTGACTTAGAATTTTTTTTTTTAATTGTATTAGTAAAATACATATTTTCATTTACTATGAAATAATTTTTAGGTTCATATCTTATATTTTAAAAGGATGTCAACTTTATTTTCATCAATGGAAGCACTGGTTCAAAAGTTGTTATTGATCAGTAATTTTTTTAATTAGTTCAATAATTTTTGTATTTTATAAACTAGTTTAATACATATGTTGCTATAAAAAAAAATAATTGACACTTATAAGATATAAGAGATGGTTCTAAAAATTGTTTCATTATAGATAAATTGATATACAAATCTAACTAACAATATTAAAAAAAAAATTCAATAAAATTATTATTTTAAGAGAAATCTAAAGGCTAGTATTAAAAGAATTAGTCTATATATATATAGGAAATGGATTTCTGTTGTTATCATTATTTGAAACAAATAACCTATTTCTTTACTTACTGATCATTCTGTATATACTTTGAGTCGGTAAATTAAAATATTGTTATTTTAGCAATTACCCCCTGGTCCTTAGGGTGGCTCTTAGCAGAATGATGTATGATTAGTTTTTAACATATATCTAACTTATACAGAGTCAGTCCAATTTTTTCTAGTACCATAATAATACTGATATTCTTTTTTTTCTTATAACAGTAAAAAAGCTTTTATATAACATAAATATTAGTACAAATCTAGTAGGGCGACTTTTATTTTATAAACTTTCATTGATCATTCTCCGTACCACCAATTTTTTTCGTTACTATATGAAAGTCATTTGGGTAAAATTTGGTTTTAATAACTTACCCCCTTCAGATGCCAAATCGAGGTTGAAAATTCGCTCAAAAGGGTAATTTTTCAGTTTTTGATCATTATTTCTAATAATGCACACTTGGCACAAAAATGTATAGAATATAGATTATATATTTTCTTTGTCAATAGATACGTATTACAAACTATATAGTATAGAGTATGTATTTTGTGTGTTAAGGGTCATAAAAAATAAAAGTTTTAATTATTTGAGCAGAATTGAACTAAAGAGACCTATACCCAATATTTATTAATATACTTTAACATTGGGTTATTCTGATTATATGTTTTATATATAATGTTTTGAGGATTTCCAAATAACTTAATTAAATCTAATAGGAATCCTTTTATATTCTATTATTTAATTCTTCTTCTTCGTTTTCCTCGTCTTAATTTCAACTATTTGGGGTCGACCACCTTATCCTAAACTTACACTTGTTTGTTCAGGACTCCTCATACATTTTGACAAAAATTTTTCAGTTTTTGATCATTATTTCTAATAATGCACACTTGGCACAAAAATGTATAGAATATAGATTATATATTTTCTTTAAAAAAAGTATTTACAAAAATTTTCTAAAATTATTTTGACTTGCTTAAAAAAATAAAATAAAAAATGAAAACAATTTTTTGCTAAAATTCACTTTTTACTACTATAAGCTCCAGAAATTCTCTATAGTCTTTCAAGAAAATTGTTTTGTAATTTTTTTTTCAAAAAGTGTAGTATTTTTTCTCTATTATTTTTTATTATATTTAAAATTGTGTCATTAAACCAAATGGAATATTTAGTTTCATTTATTTTTTTCCAATCATTAACAAATCCTTAAAGAGTGGTATATCTGGACCAGACGATGGAACAAATTTTGCATCAACAAAAAGGCATGAAATATTATTTCAAAAATATGATGCCTGCATGCTAAGAACAGTATACTTTTATATATAATCTATATTCTATACATTTTTGTGCCAAGTGTGCATTATTAGAAATAATGATCAAAAACTGAAAAATTACCTTTTTGAGCGAATTTTCAACCTCGATTTGGCATCTGAAGGGGGTAAGTTATTAAAACCAAATTTTACCCAAATGACTTTCATATAGTAACGAAAAAAATTGGTGGTACGGAGAATGATCAATGAAAGTTTATAAAATAAAAGTCGCCCTACTAGATTTGTACTAATATTTATGTTATATAAAAGCTTTTTTACTGTTATAAGAAAAAAAAGAATATCAGTATTATTATGGTACTAGAAAAAATTGGACTGACTCTGTATAAGTTAGATATATGTTTAAACCTAACCATACATCATTCTGCTAAGACAATTTTTGTTAANTAAACCTAACCATACATCATTCTGCTAAGACAATTTTTGTTAACTTATTCATAAAAACAAATAATTTTACTTGATTTATAGTTAAATTTTTGGATCCTTGTTTCCAGTCTAGATGTATGTCCAAAGGTAACTTTGCCATTCTTACTTTATCTCTTTTTGCTTTAGCAAGTGATAATGGCTCTTCTTTCATTTTGTCAACCATTGCACCTTATTTAAAAACAATGCAATAAATAATTAGTAAAACTTTTATATTTGTAAAAACTTAGTATAATTTTTTACCAATAATATAAATGTCATCATAATTAAATTTATCTAATATTTCATTACAATGTGGTGTTAGGTAAACTAATTTATTTCTTGGAAAAAGATCCAAATAAGATTTATTGGTATAATTAAATGGAAATGTTGGATGATCCATGGTAGGTAATGTTTTACTTAAATGTTTGAAAACCCTTCCTTCTTTGTTAACATTACAAAATGTAATATTAAAAGGATCTTTATGAATACGGTTAGAAGACCACATCAATAATAATTGCTTAGCACAATTTGCTTGTTCTTTGATTGACATATGTCCATCATAACTACAGTCAATTATAATATTTTGGCCATATAACATTGATTCACATAAGCGATAATTATAAAAAGAATTCATTTGAGTTTCATATATTCTATGAAACATAGTATTTCTCATCAGTCCATATTCTATATGATCATTTTTAGGCATATTTTCATATCGCTCCAATCTTTCAGCCCTCTGCTCTAGCTTTTTTAAAATTCTATTTTCCTTTTTTTTTTCAATTAAAAACAAGTATCTTAAATGTTTCATACGCGAGGAACGTGAATTTAAATCCAACAAAGTCATCCATTGATCAGTTTTTAATTTACTGGGTATTTGTTCACCTTTCTCATATAGTAAATCAATTTCAAGAATTAGACGCTTAAGGTTTGATAATTTTTCGTCATTTCCATTTGTAATTTTGTCATAATCAATATCTTCAAATAGCTTCAATGAAGTGCCCTCGTTATTTGATATTTCATAAATATCAGATTTGACAGAATAACGACGCAAATATTCACTATCAAATAAAAAACGATTTTTTTGAGTAAGTTGAACGTTTTTAGCAAAGAAACTTAATTTACTTGATTTTAAAAATACTATTCTAATAAATGACATTATAATCAGATAAATACTGTCAGGTATATATTCATTGAGGATATATTACTTTAAAACTTTAAAAAGATTTCCGAGAATAAAAAAATGGTTCATTTAATTTAATGAATTATATAATTTTTGAGATAATAT